TATTGGCTCATTATTTATAATAAATGTACCATACTAATAATGTTAGATATTTATAATAGCAGAATATGTAATGAGTGTCTTATATGGAAGCTCTATACTATCTTTGCAATTTTTATGTAATGGATGATTATAAAACTGTTCTAAAATTTTAAAAGTTTATTTAAAAATTAAGGTAAAAGGATATATTTTTCTGACAAAATCTTAAAACAATAGTCGCCAACAGATAAATATGAAAAGAAATACTAATAACAGTTTTCAAGTAAGGGAACATTATTCCAGGAAGGAAGCACAGAAATGCAAGAAACAGTAGTGAATACCACAAAAGGTAAATATATGGATAAGCCCTAGTTAGTACTGACTGTATAAAATATTGACAGTATTGTCTTCTGGTGTCTGAATATTTTAAATTAAAGTACATGATAGCATTATATAAAAGGTAGGAAAAGCAAAAGGGAGTTAACCTGTAGTTTCCAGCATTGTCAAGGAAGTGATTAAAGTACTAATTTATATTAGACTTTAATAATAGGTTTTGTAATATCTAGAGTAACCACTGAAAGAATAATAAAGGAATGTATAATTGATAATATAATAAAGAGTGCAAATAGAACACTAAAAATAATAAATGTGAAAGGATATGAGAGTGGAGAATAAAAGTAACAGTATATGAAAATTTAGAAAAATAGTAAAATGGTAAATTTAATCTAAATATGTCAGTAATTATGTTAAAATCAATGATATAATAAATAACAGTTAAAAATGTTAGATTATTTATAATAATACACATAAATATATAGATATGGCTTCTCAAATATATGAATATAAAAAAGTTTAAGAGCTAAGTTTAGAAAATGAAATGCTATATGTGTGTGTGTGTGTGTGTGTGTGTGTGTATACACACTAATATCATAAAGCCTCAATTTTAATGAAAGATGCTAGATCTAAGAGGAACATTTTATAATAACAAATAGTTAATCTGCTAGGAAGCTGTGGCAGTTCTAAACTGGTATGCCACTCATATACAGCTTCAAAATATATAAAACAAAAATTGTAGTCATAAAAAGACAAAGGTAAAATTAGAGAGATTTAAGTATGCCTCTCTCACTAATTGATATAACAAGCATATAAAATATTCTGAAGGATATTAAAATATGAAAAACATGATTAACAAACTTGAACTAATTAAATATACATATTTATATGTATTTTAAATATACTGGGTTGCCTAAAAAGTTTGGTTTGTTTTCTGTAAGATGGCCCTAGTAGCCCTTAGTTGTCCTTAACTTCGTTCAAAAAAATTTTGTTAGATTGTATTGTGACAGCTGCCAGACCAACATACATTTAAAAAACTTATCAAAATTGGTGAATTTTTATGTAGCTATTTTAATATTGAAGATAGAAGAAAATATACACCATCTTTAGCATATATGTTTTATTATTTCGAGAAAGGTAAAAATGTAACTGAAAAGCAAAAAATAAATACAATTTGTGCAGTGTATGGAGAAGGTACTCTGACTGATCAAATGTCAAAAGTGGTTTGTGAATTTTTGTGCCGGAGATTTCTCGGTGGACGATGATGCTCCACAGTCAGGTAATAGACCCCTTGATGTTAATAGTGATCAAATCAAGACATTAATTGAAAACAATCAATGTTATACCATGAGGGAGTTAGCTGACATACTCAAAATACCCAAATCAATAAAGTTACTGGTGAAAATGAAAAATGTATATTTTATGGAAAAAACTAAATGAACTTTTTGTACAAAACAATATATACATACTATATACACATAATATATGTGCATATATACTTTATATATACAGAAAACATAGCATTTCACAATTGCAGAATGCATCTTATTTTCTGTAAACATAGATTTTTTTAAAACTAAAATTTAACATGTGCTGGAAAATAAAGCAAGCCTAAAAAAATTTTTGAAGACGAACTCACACAAAATATATGTTCTGTCCACAAAGGAATTAATCTAGCGTTTTATAATAAGATGATGACAGTTCCTCAAATACTTGTAAAACCTCTGAACTATATCTCAAAATATCCCAAAGAAACTATTAATATATGAAGAAAAATTTTTAATTGAATGATAATTAAAGCTAAACTTGTGGGATGCAGCTAATATTTTACATTTAGGAAAATGCATAGCCCTAAATGAACCTAGTAAGTAGTGTGATATGCTCTCTCCAAGAACACTGTCATCAATTTATTCCTTCTCTGGACACTGCAGTTTCCACCCTGCAGTTGAGGGAAGGAATTTCTCTACCTCTGGGAATCTCAGCTGGTCTATGGCTGCTTTACCCAATAGATATGTAAGATGTACTGCTGTGTAACTTCCAAGGTATGGTCATAAGAAGTCTTGTAGCTCCTGTTTGGATCTGTTGGAATGGTCTCTCTGGGGAATGATAGGCACCATATAAAATATTTCTACCCTGAGACCACCTAACAGTGAAAAAGTCAAAGTTACGCATGTGGAGTGAGAGGTAGATACCCAGATTAACCCCCCAGATGTTCCAACCATCTCAGCCCCAATCCCCACATACAGGTGAAAAAGACTGCATGCGAGTCTAACCCCAGCTGCCACCGGACTGCTACTCTATGTGGAACTCCGGATGAGAGCCACCCACCTGAGCCCTTCAATTCTCAAAAACCTGAAAGATAATAATAAATTGTCTCCTTCAGCAGTTAGTTTGGGGGTGGTTTTTTTACATGTTTATAGATAACCAGAAATCTTTTAAACGAAGGGCCAAAAATCAATGATCTAAATTTCTATCTCAAACTCTTAGAAGAGCAGTGAAATAAATCCAAAAAAAATAGCAGGAAGGCAAGGATAAAAATCACAGAGCTAAATTAATTAAATGGAAAGCTGAAAAATACTGAAAAATCAATAGAGCCAGAAGTTTGTTTTTGGAAAAGGTAAAGATGATAGATGATAGATAGATTATATAGATAGATAGACAGATAGATAGGCAGATAGATGTAGAGAGTTAGCAAAGCTGATCAAAAAAAAGGACACATTATTTATTGAAGGAATAAGAAAGGGAAATGCACTACAAATTGGACATATTAAAAAATAGCATGAGAATATTCTGAATTTAGCAATACATTTGAAAATTTATATGAAATGGACAAATTCTTTGAAACATATAATTTATCCACACATTTAAATGAAAATCTAGATATTCTTACTCAAGAAATTGAATCTGTAATTGAAAGCTTCCACACGCACACATGCATGCACGATCTCAGACCCAGATGGCATCATAAATGAACCCTTCCAAACATTTAAGTAAGAAATGACAACAATCTTGCAGATTCTTTCAGAAAATATAAAAAGAGCAAAAACTTCCCCATTTGTTTTATGCATCCAGTGTGACCTGGATGCCAAAATTTAACAAGACTGCTACAATAAAAAAAAAGTGCAGGCAAATCTCTCTTCTGAATATAGTTACAAAAATCCTAACAAAATATTAGCTAACAAAATCCAGGAATACATAAAAAGCATAGTGTATCATGACCAGGTTTCTTACAGGGATGAAAGAAAAGCAATGCTATTAACAGAATTAACAGGAAAAACTATATAATTATCTTTGTAGATGCAGAAAAATCAGTAAATAAAATGTAACACATATTTACGATACAAATACTTAAGAAACTCGGAGTAGAAAAAAACTTTCTTAATTTGATGAAACTAGTATATTAAAAAAAAAACTATGATACACATCATACCTACAATGAAATGTTAAAACTATCCCTCTGAGTTCAGAAGCAAGACAAAGATGACAATTGCCACCACTTCTGTGGGCCACTCTACTTGACCCACTTGCAAAAGAACCAGTATTTTAAGAATTGAACATATGGACAAAATATGTGAACGAACACTTCAATAAGATGTTATCTAAGTGGCCAGTAACATGAAAATGTGCTTAACCTAATTTATCATTAGGAAAATGAAAATTGAAATCACAAGTGGTACTATTATACACTCCTCAGAAGAATAAAGCCGAAACAAAATAAAATAAAATATCCCAAATGTTGAAAAAGATGAGTAGCATCTGGTCTCTAATATACCTCTGATAGGAGTATAAATTAGAATAAACTCTTTAGGAGATTATTTGGCCATAACTAATAAAGCAGAAAACATAATAGTACTTTGTCCCAGAACTTTCAAACCTAGATATTACCCAGCAGAAATGCATAGTAAGTTTATTGAAGACATGTATGAGAATGTTCACATCAATACTTTTTATAATAACCGAAAATAAGAAAATACCCCAACTCCCATCAATTGTGAAATAGATTAATTAAAATGGTGGTATATTCATAGAATTGAATAATATAGGGTGGGGCAAAAGTAGGTTTACCCTTGTTCATATGGAAAATAATACAATAATAATAATAATACAAGAATAAATTCTGTGTTTCATGTACTCACAACTATAAACCTGCTTTTGCCACACCATGTATACAGGAATAAAAAGGAAAGAACTCCAAGTATATGCAACAATATGGATATACCTCATATGCAGAATGCCTAATGAAAGAAGACAGACACATAAAAAATGCAAAATAAGATTCTACTTATATATACAGTTGGAAAAGACAAAACTAACCCGTAGTGATTATCGAGCAGGATAGTTGTTACCATTAGCCAGTCAGGGTGTTCCCTGGGTGCTAGGGGTGTGGTTTTATTGTATTTTATGGGGTTGCATTGGTATATCTAAATCTGAAAACTAAATACTTAATATCTGTGTACTGTTTAGTGTATATGACACACTTCAGTGAAAAGTTAACTAAAAACAAACAAAAGCTACCTCGACAGCTGCACAGCCAGGCTTCAAAGTAACATATCATTTAATTAGTGCATTAGCTCTAATTAAAATAAGATATTATAGTTTTATTTCATTTAATCTGAAGTCAAAAAACTGTGTCACTCTGTAATGGTACATTTTTAAGAGGGCCGCTAAAGTCTTTTTGTATCTGTTTTTAGGAGGCTAATTCTGTTTAAATATTCAATTGCAGATATAAATGAATGTGCCATTGACAATGGTGGCTGCCAGGACCAATGCTCTAATACAATTGGCAGTTACTACTGCAAGTGTCAAGCTGGCTGGAAGCTGGAGGAAGATGGCAGAGGATGTGAAGGTAATGGTTTGGACTGTTTGCTTACTGATAAGGAAGGAGAGAACATCTGTGGAATGCAAAAAACAGGGTTTGTATTTTATCCAGAGCCAGTTGAAGTCCCTGTGTTGAATATTGTCAGGAGCACAGATCTTCTTCTCATGTCTAGATTATAAAAATGTAACCCTCAGAACACTTCAAGTAGCTTATTATAGGAAACATATGATTATACGATGGTTTGTCTGTGTCATGTTCTGGTTATGGAATTTCAATCATTCATTTAAATCCCTGAAAAGTACATATTTTATAAAGTACTTTAATGCTACAGTAAAAATGGTGCTTATCATAAAATACTCATATGTTGCTACAATAGAAATGGAAGGAGGGAGGGGGCAAGGGAAAGTGGTGGGGGGTAGGCAGAGACAAATGTATTTGAAAAAATAAATTAAAAAAAACAAACTTAGTTCCTTAAAAAAAGAAAAAAGAAAGAAAGAAATGGAGGAGCACAAAACTAACCACAGAAATTATATTCTTCATGTAGGATTAGCTTTTTTTTTTTTTTACAAACTTCAATTTTCTGCCTCTTTTTAAAATTAATTCGTTCCTTTATTTATTAATTTATCATTTTGTTCACTTGACAGTCATCAAGTTTCTGCTCTGCATCAGGCATTATTTCATGGTTTGATATAAAAAATAATGAGAAATAAATTCTGCCCTGAAGGAGTCACTGATTAGCAGCAGAGATTGAAACATAAGCTGAAACCTTGCAGACTGCTATTTAAAGGCACTATGGCATGGGGATAAATCCAGGGGACTGAAGGGGTCCTGGGTTTGAGTCGCAGCTCTGTCGCTTACAATTTATGCATTCTTTGGTATTTTACTTCACCTTGCTAAGACTCTTCCCTCATCTGTAAAATGTAGGATAACGGTAGTCCCTAAACCCCCAAAACTTGCTGTGGGAATTGAATAAGACACTGCATCTAAAGCACTTCCCCATTGTGGTGGCATATGGTAGGCATTCAGATGATAACTATGAATTGAACTCTCATTGATCAGCTCAGCTGTTGCCCACATTGGGAATGTAATGGGGGTCAGAGACTGCTTCCTTCTCTTGTTCTCAAAAAGGGTAGATACAGACCCTAAAAAGATCCCCTGGACCTTCCTAACTTTTTCCTATCTATTCATATTATCAAAATGCTTGAGCATTTTATTGGATCACTTAGAAATTCATTTTTTCTAACTATGGTTTCCTTTTGACCTTACAAAGCCATACTCATCTTTTCACGGGACAATGTCTATTCCTGGTGGGGCATATGTGAGTAAGCAGATAGGAGAAAACAAAACAAGCAAGAGACATGCACCTGAGTGTGGCTGGGGCTGGAGCTGTGGGTTTGATTGGGACTGTCAAGACAAGACCAGCTGTAGACAAGAGTAGGCTGGAGAATTTAACAGATTCTCAGGAAGAAGTGTGGTTCAGTCCTTCTGGCAAGGCTCTGGAAGGCATCCACAAGAAGGGTTCCAGGTAGGCAGCCAGATGTTGAAGTGCAGCAGCATCTGGGCCTTTCTGAGACAGGATTCATCCCTTGCTTGGGATGAATCCTGGCCAGGAAGGGAATAAATTTATGAAGGCAAGCCTTGAATTCACCCAGGCTCCATGGAAGTAAGATAATCTTTATTTCTGATGAGATTGTTTGACAATGGTGTGTTCCCAGCATTGATTCAGTATCAGAGAATGAGAGGAGTCAAGGACCCCCTGGTGTCCAAATGAAAGACTGGACAATGACCACTGAAGCATGGCCGCACAATGAAAATATTGTTTGTCATGACACCTCCCTTCCCTGACAGGCAGTGACCCCTTCATTTCTTTTTGGCTGAATACCATTGTTATCATCATTACCGTTATTATAGACATATCTGAAGAGCCCAGACAGAAATTAGCCAACGTTAGATATGACAATTATTATTTTTATAGTAGAGCTATTAGATTGACAAGACATGACAAACTTTATATCCACTAATTCATTTATGTGCAATTATATCATACTTTATTGAAGTTAGTTACTCTGCATATAAATGTCAAACTATTTAGAGAAGTGGTTTCCATGATTTTATTTAACTGATGTTTATTTGTACAGAATAAACAAGGGTAAGGTCAGTCTTCGTGAAAGTAAAGAATTTGATACTGAGTTAACATTGACTTCCTAGTTACCGAGGTGCAGAACTAGAGCTGTTGGTACGGAGGGGAGCAGCTCGCCAGTAAAGAACCACCTCTGTCAGTAGCATTCTTAGCATCTTTTCCTTTTCATATCTTTAAAAGATGATTCGGTGGACATGGTAATGCTAGAGATTCAGCATGCTTGATTGTTGAACATGTAATGATCTCAGATTTGTTTATGTAGGTAATCAAATAATAAATACAGAGGTCATTTTGAAATTGAGTGCACTCTAAAGCCACTGCGAATGAGCATTTCAATTCATGTGAGTGCACTAATGAGTCCTTCGTGATTATTTACTGGATTGCTCACAGTAAAGGTCATTTGGTTTCAAAGATCATTGTGTTGAAAGCTACAGACATAGAATTAAACAGTCATTTGAACAGACTTTTTCTTTGCATTAATATAAATTGAATTTAACTTGCAAATTGCTTTTTAAATACAGATCAACATTTTAGTAGATATTTGTTGTACCATTAAAATAAATCTAGAATCTACCTTTCAATGGAATTGAAACATTTGTAAATGGCCTTGTTAGCTAATCTTATTCTTTAACCCTTTCTCTAAAGAGCTCTAAGCTTGTAGAGAAAGCTTCTTGATTAGCTAAGTTTACATGAGTATCCCCTTCTCTCAGGCATAGCACAGAACCCAAATCATGGGTTTTAATTCACATTGCAGATAGATTAGTATAGGGTATAGATTAAAGGGGAAAACAAAGAGGGGAAAGGACTGCCTAAAACTAAACACTTATATATTGTATGTATACTTATATAGTATGTATTTATATGTATGTACGTATAAAGTATATAAGGTTATTCTTTAACTTATTAATGTAGGATAATAATATTTATAGTTTTTTAAATATGCCACCATATTTGCATTTCAGGGGGAAAAATCCAACTGGATTTTATTATTTTATTTGCCTTTAAATTCAGTTTGCTGTTAATTTTGTTTAGGATTTTTACACCTATCGCCATGAGTAAAATAGGCCAGAAATTTGCCTTTCTCATAAGATATTTATGGCAATCATTCTCACCTACGGTGATTTTGTCCCTCAGAGACATTTGGCAACGTTTGAAGACTGACTTTCACAACTGAAAGAAAGGGGTACTAATGGGTAGAGGCCAGGATACTGCTAAACATCCTTTTCTGTTACTCTGCTATACATGTGTTAGACCTTCTCATTCCACCTCATATGCTGCTTTTCTATATTCTATTTTTTTCTTTACTACATATGCTCAACCAGTCTATTGAGTTTCAAATAGTAACAATTTAACTTTACATTTTTAGAAGTCTCATTTTTCTGAAAATTGTAGGTTCCTCCTTGTTGTATGTTCATTTTGATAATTGTGTCCTTTTCTTGTACTATTTCACACATAGCTATTCTATAGTCTGTCTGATTCCAAAATCTGTGATCCTTTGTGGGGGAGTCTAAATCTAATGTTTCTTATTTCTAGACCATTAGATGTTACACTCTCCTTCCTTTCATGTTGTGTATTCCTGTAATGGAGAACATCTCACAGAACACAGTACTTATTTATACATTTTTACTGTGTATTAGATTGGGACTATCTTCTGGGAAAGGGTTATGTCTTATTACTTTTCTTCCCCAGCTCACAGGTATCTAATACCTAGCAGAATTCCATAAATACTTACAGAACGAATGAAGGAATGAATGAATGAACAGATGGATAAATACCCATCCATTCAAACATAAATGCATACAAGCATACAGTTAGTATACCGTTTATTCATTTCCTTGTCTACAGATTCTAACAATATCGCATTTATTACTTAAAGTCTGACCAGTTAAACTACTGAGTATCAGTAGGTCTTTGTGTGAATATTTTCTAGTAGCAAGTCTGTTTTATTCGAAAGGGTAAATCACATTTTCTTCTTCTAGAGGGCAAATTGGAATTTTTTTTTTAGCTTAGTTTAAACTTTCAGAAGTGTCTGCTTGTGGCTTATCTAAATTATTAGTGCAACAGCATTACCAGTGTGTCTTTGGGTAGTCCCATGGAGTCAAGGAATTTTTCTAAATGAAGTGGTAACCAACATTACTGTGTTTTTATTAAGTGAACTGACAAAGGTAATGAACATTGATGGAACGTTTTAGATAAAGTCTTCCATTTGAGAGAAATAAATGAACATAGAGGTATCTTGCTTAAAGAATTGATCTTTACAATATTTAACAGTAATTTTCATAATATTTTCAGCCAACTATTTTCCTGAAACTCATTAGAAACTATAAGGTGAATGAAGAGAGAATGTAACTCAGTATGCCATCATCATGGATTTATAGAATTTGGGGCTAAAAAGACTTCTATAGATGAAATATCAGGGAAATTAAATGATTTGAAGAAGCTCAAGATGCTGATCGGTGGGCACAGTGGCCACGTGCGCTTATTTCCCCTCAGTGAGGTGGATAGGCAGTGTGGCCTGGCTGCAAAGCATTCATCAGAACAATGGGGTCACAGAGCTACAGGAGCCACGGGCCCCTCAACTCACAGAGGCCATGACCCACAGAGGAGGGAAAGTAATACCCGGAGAAATCGACTGATTTCCTCCAAGTCCCAGACAATTTATTTATGGAACTAGGCATGGAATCCAGGTTTTCTTTTCCCAGTTGCCATTCTTCCCAATTGAGTAATCAATCTCATTTTTTGGGTAAGTACTATGTGCTCAGCACTGTGTTGGGTGATTTGAGAATACCAGAGCGGTGCAAAAATGTGGTTTCTTCTCTCATCGGGTTTCAGTAGCATTAAGCATCAGGATATAAAATTATTGTGTGATATTTTAAGTGAAAGTACA